ATAAAAATTAGCCGAATTCAAATACATATAATTTTAAAAGTATTCAACCAAATGCTATGCTTTTTTCACGCACCAACGTGAAAATTATTCTACATTGAAACTTGCCTTTTATGATGCTTTTACAGTACGATTATGGCAAACTTTAGCGATAACAAGCACCGGGTGTAAATACGGCTTTGTACGCATATCAAATTCGACTTTAAATTTCTCAAAAGTGGCACCTAACTGGATTCAGTGACAAATATGGTTAAAAAAAGGGAAGTTTGAAGTACCCATATCCATAATAAAACTTGTTACCCACCGCGATTTGAAGACTCGACAGCCTCTGAAATTTGATACAATTTGGCTATTTTGTTTAGCTTCAATTATAGCGGAGTTGAGACGTCAGAGCTTTCAGTCACTTGTAAAATGCGCTGTTGGTCCATTTTTTTACACAAGCCGTTAATATCATCTTAGTTAAGCGATTTTTCTGTGTTCATGAACATCACAAGTGGATTTAATTAAAAAAGATTTCGATCGATGCAGTGAGGTATTATTAAACGTGGTACGCTTTCGTATTAAAATTAGCTACTCGGGGAAAACCCGGAAATTATTGTCAAATTGTCAATGTTGATATTTATTAATCTAACTCTGTATGTCTATTCTGCACGATTGGGAATGAATTTAAGAGGTTATCTCTCTAAGAACCGACCAATGGCTCTAGGCTCAAAAAATGAAATTCTTCGTTACTTTCACAATGTCTTTTATGATTTTTTCGCCCACGCACGTGAAAGTTATTCTACTTTGAAACTTACCTGGTTTTATGATGCTTTTACAAAACTATTATTATGGCAAACTTTAGCGATAACAAGCACCGGATGTAAATACGGCTTTGTACGCATATCAAATTCGACTTTAAATTTCTCAAAAGTGGCTCCTAACTGGATTCAGTGACTAATATGGTTGAAAAAAGGGAAGTTTGAAGTACCAATATCCACAATAAACCTTGTTACCAAGACTGCCAGAGCCTCTGAAGTTTGTTACTTTCAATTATCGCGGAGTTGAGACGTCAGAGCTTCCAGTCATTTGTAAAATGCGCCGTTGTTCCGTTTTTTTTTCTCACACAAGCCGTTAAGCGATTTTTCCGTGTTAATGAACATCAGAAGTTCTTTTAATTCAAAAAGATTTGGCTCGATGCAGCGAGGTAAACGTTACAGCGAGGTAAGCGAGGTAAAATAGAGTCATTGCTAATTTTGGCACTTCCCGTCATAAACAGTCTAATCGTGCAACAATTACTGCCATTTATTAGCAGAAAACCAGAAACATGACGTATTGTCTTGTTTCTATAGCTTCTCTTCCGTGTAATGCACAGCAATTCCATTAGTATATATTTGACAATTTCGATTCCCCACTATATCTTCACATGATACTATACTTTATTGGGGTAATTTACGCATTAATTAGCATTCCCCTTTTTGAATACATCGTGAACAGTTTCTACCATTATTCTGGTCGACGTTTCATATAAGAGTCCCCACATGCCCTGGCCTACCCACACCCCCAGTACGACCCTACCCCAACCTCGCGTTTTGTGACGTCATTTGAAAACTCTTGTATGAAAATAAACTTCACCCTTTATTAGCTCTCCTTAAACAATTCCAGGTGAAGTTGATATAAAGGTCCTCAAATGACATCACAATAGAGGTGGGGTGGGTGTAGGGTAGGGCTCAGGATAGCGTTGGGGTTATTTGGAGACTATTCCATATATGACTCTTCTATTAAATTTCAGCCAAGCCCTGGTTGAAACACTAATCAAAACCCTTATTCGAACTTTGAATCCAAATCCAGTTCAATTGGCATGCACGATTGCAACTGGATCTTTTTGAATAATCAGTATCTATAGTAGTCTTCTAGATCAAGTCTTTTTTCCAGTTTAAATTCATTTCCAATCGTGCAGAATAGACATACAGAGTTTAGATCACAGAATAAGGGTTTAGATTAATTAATAAATATCAGCATTGACAATTTGACAATAATTTCCGGGTTTTCCCCCGAGTGGCTAATTTTAATACGAAAGCGTACCACGTTTACTTCGCTGCATCGATCGAAATCTTTTTTAATTAAATCCACTTGTGATGTTCATGAACACAGAAAAATCGCTTAACTACGATGATTTAAAGGCTTGTGTAAAAATACGGAACAACAGCGCATTTTACAAGTGACTGGAAGCTCTGACGTCTCAACTCCGCTGTAATTGAAGCTAAACAAAATAGCCAAATTGTATCAAATTCCAGAGGCTGCCGAGTCTTCAAATCGCGGTCAGTTACAAGTTTTATTGTTGATATGGGTACTTCAAACTTCCATTTTTTTAACCATATTAGTCACTGAATCCAGTTAGGTGCCACTTTTGAGAAATTTAAAGTCGAATTTGATATGCGTACAAAGCCGTATTTACACCCGGTGCTTGTTATCGCTAAAGTTTGCCATAATCTTTCTGTAAAAGTATCATAAAACAAGGTAAGTTTCAAAGTAGAATAATTTTCACGTTAGTGGGTGAAAAAATCATAAAATTTGGTTGAATACTTTTAAAATTATATGTATTTGAATTCGGCAAATTTTTATTCCTGATTTAGGCAGAGGATTTTCTGCCCAACGGCGCGGGACCGAAAAGTCGCTGAAATTTTAAAAATTAATAAAATTTCAAAATTCCAAATAGCGTTTGTTTGTTCTTGGGGTAAATACATTTCATTGTGAAAGTAACGAAGAATTTCATTTTATGAGCCGAGAGTCATTGGTCGGTTCTTAGAGAGACAGCCTCTTAAGCACATTCACAATATAAATTTTTGTAAAACATACTTTTATCGACTCGTTTTACCGGCCTTGCGAGTAAGGTTATTATTATAATATTGTCAGAATTGTTCTATTGACTCCAAAGTCGCACAGTCTGTCGAGTAAGAATTGTACTAGTAGGCTGAGGTAATTTTATGTGCATATAATCAGTATTTTCTTCGGTTAAAGCCGCTAAAGTGCAGTCAATTGTAGGGGCTAAAAATAGCATTTCCAACCGTCTTCGAAGAAATGAGAATTTCTCCTCTAAAAAGCAATATTTCATCAAATTAACTACACAGCAATTCTTGGGATGCTTAGGCCTATCATTCCTGGAAATATGAGCTAAAATTATATTTGAAGGTTGGCCAGATTTGTTTGATATTTACTGACAAGCCCTCTTAATTTGTTGCTTTTGGTGAAGCGAGTACCTTAATTTGAGTTGTTGCTTTTGGTGAAGCGCATGTCCTTAATTTGTTGCTTTTGGTGAAGCGAATACCTCAATATGACTTATTGCTTTTGGTGAAGCGCATGTCCTTACTTTGTTGCTTTTGGTGACGCGCATGTCCTTAATTCAGTTGTTGCTTTTGGTGAAGCGAATACCTTAATTTGACTTGTTGCTTTTGGTGAAGCACCAACATTAATTTTAGCCATTCGGCTTTTGGTAAAGCCTTTGCATGCATTTCTGTATTTTGTTTTGTAGCCGCATGCGTCTGTTTGAGCCATTGTTTTTTTGGTGCAGCACATGCATTCAATCTATATCACTTTTGATGAAGCAATTTGACTTTTCGCTTTTTGGAGAAGCACATCCTTTCGTTTCGCTCTATTATTTTTGGTGAGGCGAATATATTTCATTTGACCTATATTTGCGTCGCGATGCACATCTATCATTGTTTTGTTCTATTTCTCTTGGTGAGCAATTACCGTTTGCTTTAACTCTGCGGTTAAGTATTGTTTTCAATTGAGTGACTCTGTGACTCGCACACCAGTCTGTGCTTTGAGCTTTTGTCTTATGCTATATTCACATCAGCTGTTTTTGGTTCGGCATTTTGTTTGCTTTTTGTTTGCGTAGGCCCATGCATTGAGCATGCTTTAGTTCACATTAAATTGTCTTTGCTGCCCCTCGCTGTTCGTTCTAAGGTGACACTTATTTTTTTGGTATTATTGTTGTGTTTATCAAGCTCTACCCGTTATTAGGGACCTTTACCAAGCAAGACGGCGACGGCCTTTATACAATGGACTTTATGATAGCGTTATTGTGACATGAATAATTAAAAGTCCCTTGGGAGTTTTAGCCGTCGTCCTTACTCTGTTTACAACAGCAAATTAATGATTTTTACGCCCTGTATACAACGCGTGAGTAGCGGTACTCGGCATACTGGCTTAGTCGAAGTCTTCTAAAATATAACCCTCCGTCTGATAGTTCTAAAGCTGTATTATAAATTTGTACCACGAATAATATTACACGACAAGTTTTCCATAACATTATTTCAAGGATTTTGTTTTGGCCATCGTCGTTGCGTTGCCGTCTTAAGCTTGAGAGCTATCTGCTGAGCAAAAAGTTACTCGTGCCTGTTAGCTCAGCCGATAGCTCACCGTGTGCGCGTACATTTTACTGAGTTTTTTGCCTCATGCAACCTTTTCTCACGTATCAAACATGTTTGATCGGTGAGCTATCGGCTGAGCTAACAGGTACGAGTAACTTTTTGCTCAGCAGATTGCTATCTCGTGTGCTGCAGGCTTCACATGCTTCTTGCGCGTTGCAGCGTTTGGTTGCTTATGGTCCGGTAATTCAGTATTCTTCCTTGGTTTCTTGCATGTTGCAGAGTATATGGTTGCTTTTGGTTAGCCCCATCAGTATTATTGTTATTTATACGTTGGGCGTGCATGGTTTCATAGTTATTTCGGGTGCAGCATGAATGCATTTGCAGTCGCGTGCTTTGGGTGAAGCTGTTTGTCTTTGATTAGGCAAGGCTATCTTTGTGCTTGTTTTCATGCGTGCAGTAATGTGTAAGTTCGGTCTTTGGTGAGGTACGATTTAATTTTGTCATTAGATACAAACGCTCGTTTTGCGTGAAGCAAAGTGTATGATATTCCTTTGATGGGGCAAGCTTTCATTTGGTCAATCGAAACACAAGCTCGCTTTGGGTGCAGTGCACGCTATGCTTTGGTGGGGCAAAAATACCTCGCTTTGGGAAAAGCAACGTGGAAATGTGCTTTGGGTGCCAAGCATGCAACATTCCATTTATAACTTAAGCTATTTATCATGCGTGTTCTAAGACGCTTTTGGTGATGTAACGTGCCTGTTTCACGATATTGCTTTAAGAGCAACCTTTTCGCTTTTCATCCTTTTCCAAGGGCGGGGTTTTTCTGAGTATTGAAGAGAGAGAGGGAATATTCTCGCTTTTGAAGTCTGATCGTCATGAAGTCTTTGTAATATTTTCTGCGTATGGTGCTGTTTATGGAGCCGGAGTACGCCGGGGCTAAAAATTATTTATCCCTAATCTGAATTCCCTCAGTCAAAGGTATTGTGCGGGGAAAGCGAGCAGTGAGAATATATTACTATTCTCACTGGGAGTTTTCTCTCACAATACCATATACTATGAATATTTATGCATGAGATGATCAATTAGTCATCCATAAACACCACGTGATTGTCAGACAGTATAAAAGTAGCACAGAATCGGTATCTTTTCAGCATTTGCGGAATGCCACCGAAAAGGAAGGACGGCGCTGAAATTTTTTGGGATCAACCCACCTCCCCTCGGCTGCGAAATTTCCGGACCTAGCTTCGCCCCACTCTACCTTTGACTGAAAATTATTTATCCCCAATCTAATTCCCTCAGTCAAAGGTATTGTGCGGGGAAAGCGAGCAGTGAGAATATATTACTATGTTAGATACAGTATGCACGGACGTATTTAAGCTTCAATTTAAGATACATTCAACCACAAAGGCTTCACGAAAAGGTCTAATATGTTTTTAATAAAACTAAACTGCCTTATCGAAAAAATTTGAGTTTGAAATAAAATGATTTCAAATTCTCGCATTCAAATAACTTTGCCTTCTTTTTTATTTAAATTTTTTTAATATTGCCGCCTTTTTTCATTTAATATATAGGCAACGATCAGCTTAATATTAAAGCAATTATTATATAAAGCGAACAATACATCGATATTTAAAACAAACTTACCTTCGCTAACGTCGGCACCTTTAACACCTACTTTTAAAAATTCTTTCGCCTCGTTTTTCTCAAAAAGCTTTTGAAATTTACAAAACCTTGCAGTTACTGTGAAAAATTTAATTCTGCGCACTAATATATTGAGCGTACAAGAGCACACAAAGTTGGATTCTTTTTTTATACACCTTGTTTTTTTGGGTTTTTTATTAGTTTTATGATCAGAAATTGAAGGCGCAGATAACAGGACTAATAATGTCGCAAATTAAGTCCTGCCATACATGAAAATACTACGCTATACTGTGCTATACTATACTATAAACGGTTATAAAATTAACAAAATACATAGCTAGTTACATATTTATGGTATTACACATAATTACATTCGTGCAATAACTGAAAACATGCACTTCTACGAACAACAAGACATAAAACAAGAACGAGATTTAGAGCACAACGTTTTCCAAGTCCAAACAAACCACCCAGGTCATGGAACTCAAGTTCCTTTCTGTTGCTTGAGATCTAGCTTCATTGTCTAGTGTCCAGTCGCCCATCCTCAAGAACAGTAATTCTTGTTTCTTGAGTGAGATTAGCACAGCGCTTCCCGACGATGACACTTTCTTCAAATTGCAATTCAAGTAATTTTTATCATATTGTGCAAACATTCAAATGACATTCTAGATCCAGATAGTTTTATTGTGAAATATTTTGAAATATTTAATTTCGATTAATCTTATCAAACGGATTTAAAAAACAGGCAGTCGAGAAAATTAAGAAAATATTTGAACATTGTTGTATGATGTTGGCCAACATTGTTTGGACCCTCCTCTGAACGGGCCTTAAGGTGGCTACCTAGGGTTTTATTTCCGGGGGTTACGTTCTTCGTATATATGTAAACTTCGTGTGACTTCAAAATACAAACGAACGTTGTGTTTTATATGGAACTCTTTTTTGAAACAAAAGTGTGAACTTTGCTTTAGTTGAAAGCATAAAAGAGTTCTAAAAGCCAAAACGATA